TGATTTTATTTTTTCTACACTTATTGAGGTTGAATTAGCAGTTATACTTTTCTGAATAGATGGTTCTTCTAACTTGACAAAATTCATATACTTAGAAGAAACTCTGCAGTTGAGAAGGAAAGATGTTTTGCAGCTAAAAGGGGCATCTGCAGGCATTAGTAAAAAGTATCGCATATATTGTATATAATGTATATATATTATAAGAAATGTATACTGAAAAAATATATATGTATACAGTACATATACATATATACAGTACAAATTCCGAGATCAGGACATCCAATATCTGGAATGACCTAAAATCCAGACCTCAAAGCCACCACAAACCAATTTTTTAGGGCTTTTTTGGAGGGAAGGGGTATGCTTTAGGCATGCGCATTAGATTTTTTTCCTCATCATAAAAAAACATGCCAGAAAGCCCGATTCTTAATCTCAGTTTGGCGCTAAATAAAATATCTCATTATTGAAGAAATAATTACTTTAGCATAAATTTGTGTGATTAGTAACTTGACTCCATAGCTGCGTATCTGCTTGGCATAATCTCAAACCGAAAACTTTGTTAATTTTACACCAACTAATATTTTATATCCTTGATGCCGAAATCGCGAAATCATTATTTATTGTATTTTTGCTTCATCACCGCATCAACGATGACAACTTGAGTGATGAATCATGCAGCGATGCCAAATAACAGATTATTATACGATTACAGATTTAAATTTAATGCGCTAAAATGTTGACAAGGGGAGATTTAGCAGAAATTTCTTCCTTATGCTAAAAATAGAATTTTGTTAATGATACTCCTAGGACAAACGATTATATTTAGTGCTATTTGAATTAAGAATAACTGATTTGTTATTCACATAAAGCCAGAACCAGCTCCAGAGCTCGCATGGCCGCACCAGGCGGCAGAATTTAGCGAAGTTAAACAGAAGTTTTTCATTGCAATGACAATGCCCCAATCATCAATCAATTAACGGAGGCGGAATCTGTAGTATGGTTCTAAATCCAGAAAATACAGCTACCGATAGTGAGAAAGTAACAGAGAGGTTACTGAACGAGAAAAAATTTTGATTGACAAGTTATTCGGAATTCTCGACACAGCAATTACAGGACTTGAACAATGGAACTTAATAACTGAACAAGAAATTATATGTCTATAGTATTAGTCTAAAGTATTAGCAGAGAAAACAAATCAAACAACTCACATTGAAAGAAATGTTTATTAAAGTAAACATATAAATATTAAGCTCTTTTCTTTGGTAAATTTTGATACCCTTTAAATCATAAATGCTTCATTATTTCATAAATCACGATTTTCATATTTTCAATTTTATAATTTTTCTACGTGCCATCTTAGTAGATTTAAAATGATCTAATATCCGGAAAAATTCTCAAATCTAGGATCGCCGAAGTCCGACGAGTCCAGACCTCGGACTTTGTACACTGTATAAATATATATTATATATATATATATATATATAATACGGAATGTATATTTTCAGTTAAACTTCTACCAATAACTTTAGTAATTCATGAAAGTTAATTTTGCGTCTAGTTAATTCAGGAAAATTAGTTTCAATTAGTTTGTTTTCAGCTTTAAAAATATTTAAAAAATTTAATTAGTTATTTTCAACTAATAATTGTATCGCCATTAGCAAAATTATGCATTACTATCAAAACATAGGTTTAAACCAAATACTTAATTGTCTATTGAAGCTTCAAAACGTATTTCCGAACTTCACTTTTTCTCGGCTAGCGTTACCGAATTTGCCCTTGGCGACCTAAAATCGAAATGGAGCCAACAGATTTCTTCCCGCGAAATCGATAACAGACACCCCTCTGCAGAAATAAACTGATAATCCCGATATCCCATACATATAGTATGCGCAAAAGAGAATAAACTCCGCAGAAGGTGATAAAAAGTTAATTTATGGCTTAATTGAAACAAACACAGAAATTGAGCTAAGCAAAACCGCGTAAAAACAAATTGAAATGATAAAACGAAACTTAATTTTCATGTGAATTTTCAGCTGCTGACTCTCCCATTCTAGAAATTTCAATTTGTTTCAGACAAAGACCACATTTAGCTTTAAAAGGATTGTCATCCATCAATATCCAGTCTTTGTAGTCAGCTTGATGAAGCCACAGTTTATTGAAAATGCACTTTCCAGGCATCTCGTTCCTATTGGCGTCGGAAGGGTTGTGGCCTTCCAGGTTGGGATTGCTCTAATTTTGGCAAATATTTTCAGAATCCCCCCCCCCTTTTTTTTTCTCGAGCACCTTCATCATCACTTTTCGCCTCTTAAAGAACTTCCAGCTTCACGCTTTCGTCACAAGTCTGCCTAAATTTATGGATAACACCTGTTTCAAAAGATTGGGTGAATAGCCAATCAGACCACCGATACTTTCGTTCGGGTAGCTAGGTTTTTTTTTTTTTTTTTTTTTTTTTTTTTTTTTTTTTTTTTTTTTTAATCGTTTGCAACGCAAATCCGCCAACAGATTGGTTAAGAGCTGTGTAATTTTAATCCATATTCATGAGAAATCATGAGAAATTGCAATTCACACTTAGAATGGCAATCATTAGAAAGATAAGAAATGTCAAACGAGCAAAATTAAGGACCGTTTATTCATTTTAGCCAAAATTAAGGACTTTTAAGGACCAAAAATCATTTTTGAAAAAATTAAGGACTTTTAAGGACCGTACGAACCCTGGAATCCCAAGAGGGGTTTTCTGACTCCAAAACTTCTCATGAATTTTTGCTTAATGAGAATAATTCACAGTCTTCATAGCATCCAGGCTACCAGTCTTCAAGGATGTTTCACATTCTGTCATAATATCACCCAGACAATCAACATTAAATGCACTTTCGACATTTGGATCCATGGAAGCGAGTCGTTATCGATTTAATCAGTTTTGACAATAATGGGTATTTCTATTTTCCATCTCCACCGTATAGCACGGTTTTGTTGTGTAGTATTACTACACAGAAAAATATCTGTGACAGACTAACATACATCAATCTGGAAAAAAAAATAAGTTAAAACTAATCTGCCATTACGTAAAACGCTGTTACGTAGATGTCCGATGTCTTTACCTACCATATTTTTCCCTTTCACAGAACTCTATTATTAAAAGCCCAAATTGTACCCTTGCACCAAATTATTTTAGAATTACTACTATCATGGACACAAAGAACTACAGTCAAAAGTCGTTAATCCAGACTCGTCGGGACTTCGGCGATTCCGGATTATAGATCATCAGTTTAAATCTGGTAAGATGGCATGCAGAAATTATAAAATAAAAAATATGAAAATGTACTTTATGAAATAAAGAACAATTATGATCTAAAGAGTATCAAAATTTACAAAAAAAAAAAAAAAAAAAAAAGAGGGAGTTGAATATTTATTTGTTTATTTTATTAAACATTTCTTTGAATGTAAGTTGTTTAAGTTGCTTCATTTTTTATGTGATAATACATTCTCTTTAATTCTATAAACAGACATAATTTCTTGTTCAGTTACAAAGTTCCGCTGTTCAAGTCCTATAATTGCTGTGTCTAGAATACCGACTAATTTGTCAATCAAAACTTTTTCGTTTTCAATAACCTCTGTCACTTTCTTCACTATTCGAAGCGAATTATAATGACGAGGAATTTGATTTATATCATATCAAAGACGAAGTACATCGAGAGGATCAATTTTTTGCAGCAATTCCACTTTTTGTGTAATGGACTTCGAAACATACTTTCGCTTTGTAGATCCCTTACGTATTAGTAAATATATATCAAAAATTCTATTTGACATAACCGAAAGTTCAAGCTTACTTTTATAAAATTGCTCTAACAGTCTGCAAAAAATAATAAGCCGAATCCAATTCGAAGATTAAGGAACAACACAATCTGCAACATTAACTGAATTAGATAATTTTAGCTTAGCTTATACCGTCCGTTATACATTAAACGTGCATTCGTAAATGTATTTTGCGTGCGCGCACACGCATATTGGCAGCCGTAAAGGTCAACCTCGATGCATGCGCAGAAAGCTTGTAGCTTTGAGGTCCGGATTATGGGTGTCCGAATTAACGACTTTTGACTATATACTGAAGAGCTTATAAATCCCACTTTGTGGCTGTCGTAAAACATTCAGAAGTATGAGGGAAAAATTAAATTTTCTATTTGTATGGTAAATATTTACTGTCATCACGCAGTCAAAAGTGCACGATCTGAAGTGGAAACTAAACTACAACAGATTTTTTTCTTTTTTCACTATTTATGAAGAATGTTTAAAACTGCAAATTTTAACTACGATAATTCAAATGTTTTATTATTGTGTGCAAGATATATATTAAAACATAAATCCCATTCATGAGAAACAGTAAAATTAATCAACATAACAGAATTATAAATCAGATCAAACATCATTCACTCTATGCTCGAAATTTTGACTTCTATAATTCAAACGTTTTATTGCTGTGCACATAATGTTAAATGTACATTAAAACATGCATCCCATACTTGCCCTACCCATGAGAAATACTCAAATTAATCAAAATAAAAGAATTATAAATCAGATCAAACATCACTCTACTAAAACTTCGAAATCAAATTAGAAACAACAGACATCACATTGCACAATAGGCCATTTCTGCTTTTTAGGTGTGAGGAAGGTAAATGTGTTATGGGATCCAAAACATTTTCGAACATTCCATATTATAAACAACACAATTATGTTACCTGTCCTCTAACAAATGATGTATTATCTAATAGAAGAAATTCAATCCTGCTCAGAAGATAATTTTGAGGTTTTATTTTCATATCTACGGAGACTTCATGAAGCGAAAGTGGAGATTTAGGGCTCTGTGCAGCACAGTCAAATAAATAACTCAGACAATTTTTTAAAACATAACTCAAAGTGACCATGATACATAGTTACATGTAATACCTTACATTTTGTTTCATAAAATATATCAACAAGTGTGCAATTAAGTAGAAACTTACTTTCTGTAGATATTAATTCATCTAAAATTTGCTCTTGTAATTTATCATCTGGAAAGAAATAATAATAAAAATTAGACTCAAAAGAGATAAAATGCAAAATTTGATGCTTGATCATATGAAAATTTATAATCAAATTACAGCTCAATAACAAAAATAAACAGAAAAACTCAGAGCAAAAATTTCATACCAGCGATAGGATCAAATAGTAAGTCTTTTGAAATATCAAGAAGATTATCAGCTGTGTCACAACTGGCTTCACTGTTTGAAATGGTAGGTATATTACCTATAAATGATAAGAAAAGTACTTAAGATATCCTTAACAACACTGAAAATTATTTTGAAACTTAATATAATTTCAATATCTACTATAATCATAAACGGAAAAAAAAGAGGGGGGAGGGGGTGCAATTTGAAGTTTTTAGCAGAGCTGTGGAGTTGGGCAGATTTTGAGGCAAAAGGAGTTGGAGCTGGAGTCGCTAAAAATAGGTTGGCACAGACTCCAGTTTTTGTTGGACAGATTGAGTTTGAAATGAATTGAAAAAAAAATTAATGACAAGTTGAGTTATTATTTTTATTTACGGACTGTATACATTAGTAAATAGTCATTTTCTATTTTATTGACATATCAATAAATAAATATAAGGATGGATGTGATATTTGCCATTAGCAAAACTGATTCATTTAGTTATAAATCTCACTGGTAAATTTAGGTAAGCAGCAACAAGAACTCCTAAAATGGATGCCATTCTTAGGAAGCGAGCTGTAAAAGGAGCAATTATTGATCAAGCAAGGCAATAAGGAAGTACATATTTGATGATAAAGAGTTTTTAGAATTAAGAACTTTTTTAGAAGTAGATAACCCTAATGTTTCACAAACAAAAAAACTGTGGAATGATCTTGCAGAATTGGAAACTCTTCTTTCTACACAGTATAGAGCCACAAAAAAGCTGCAATCTGAAGAATTGAAGGAGGTGAGAATAGAAGAATGGGATGTTTGTTCTTTCTGAAATGGAGGGTTTATTGCAGAAGGAATCATTTCTTCAATAAAGGAAAGAGAAACTAGTTTGCTAAACAATGAGATCTTGCTGGGTTCAATATACAGACATCCGAAACACCAAATTTCTTGGATGATGAACAAATTAAAAAGGCAAAGAAAGTCATCTATGAACTTTTATTAAGAATGAAAATATTCTCAGAACAATTAGAGAATTCGAATCAGGACAGTCTGCAACTGCAGACATTGTAATTGAGTGTCTATCATCTTCTTCTAGTGACGAATAAGATTTTAAGAAATATTTTGGGATAATATTGAAAAGGTGAAGGCAAAGCGAATTAAAATAAAGAACCAAGAGCCTTTAGATATAAAAATGAAAAAATACAAACAAAATTTCTACATGGCCTTTGAAGAATAGAGAAATATGATTGTGCTTGCAAGACACCTCTTTTAGAACTTTTAAAAATCTATCCTGAAAAGTTAAAATCTAACTCCACAGCCCTGGTTTTTACACTAAATATTTTTTATTCTATAAATACTTTTAACAGCTATATCTCCTTAAAAATGTAGCAATTTTAACCAGATACCGTAAAAAAATTCTACTACGTACAGGACTTATTTTGAATCACATTATCATAATGTAAACCATAAATATATATATTCGGTCTATGGGAGGGAAACAGGGTTCATACACATTTCTGCACATGAAAATTAAGTACTTTTAAGGACCATTAATGAAAAAAATTAAGGAGCTATGAGCAAATAACAAATTAATAAATTCAATTAAAAATATTATCTCTGCTTGAGCTTCCCTTTTGTAATACTATCCCCCCCAAAAAGGATGCATTATTATTAAACATCACTTAATTAACATAATTATTAATAAGTTTGAGAATAAAATATACTTTATGCAATTTATCAAATAGTATTAAATATTATACACTTATAATAGTTCGGCATATTTGAGAGAAGATAAATAGCAAGGTTAAAATAGGAAGTAAAATCATAATCAGAATGATTTATAACAAAAGACTGGGTGTTATCACCACTGCTCCTTGCCTAGAGAGAGACCTGATAATCAGAACAAAACTGGAAGGCCTGATGTGGGCATGGTTCACAAGTTTTGAAAGTTAGTTGGGCTCTATCTGATGCAGTTAAGTCATAGCTTTGTGTAGAGTTTCAAGGGTTGTAACCCAGTTAATATATTTTAAGGTTTCAATAAGCCACTAAAGCAACAGAGGTGATACTAAATTGCTTTGTATTATTTTAGGTCTCACTAGATACAAAGAATAAGTTTTACATGAATTTTTACATTTTTGTGTTTTATCTTGTACCACGGTAAGGATTAATGAAAGGCAATAGCTCACTTTAATATGCAGAGGTAATTTTTAAGGGTGAGCAGTTATAAATAATTGATGGTTGGTTGGTTGACTTTTAATGGCACAAAACTTTGAAGGTTATTATGAGCCAGATGAATGGTTAATAAAATCCAAAATGCACAAACACACCGTATCAGATGAATTGTTGAAATGAACCTGTAATGCTGATGAAGGCATGGAGAATGCTCTAGCAACAGGTAGAGCAGGATAAAAGGGGGGGGGGAACTTCAAATCATATGGTAAAAAGAGATGCCTTTTAAAAATCTTATAAGAGTTTCTTCCAATGAGATCTGTAAAGTTAATATTATTAGAGATAAAATGATATTCACATTTCTGACTAAAAGCAGGACAGCACGTTAAAATAAATAATTGAATTAGGTACTTATATAACCTTAGTCATTATGGATTTACATGACCACTATTAAATTTTACTTATTTTTTAACAATATTTGTTAAAAACACCCTATTAAAATCACAATCTAATAAAATTTCACAGTTTAAAATACATGCAATTTATGTCATTGATTCTTAAACTATATTAGGATACTGATTCAGAAGTCAAACAACAAAAATCAGCGTTAATTCACAAAATTTTCACAGGACTAGTTTCGATGGTTTTACTGAACCATCATCTTCAGCTGCAAAACCGCAAATGAACAAGGTAGGAAATAATGTTTAGATAAGATAAGAAAGCCTGGACAAGAATAAGCAAGTGGCGCCATCTGTTGGCGAAACCAGAACTAAAACATAATTTCTCTAAAAGCCGAAGGCAAATTTGGATTGGAATTAGGATCATTAACCAGAACAGAAAGATTTTTATGAATGTGAAATGCCTCTAGAAAATCCAGTTCTCCAATGGAAGATGTTTTTTGAATAATTTTGGCAGCAGAAAAACTGAAACTGTGGTTTTCGGACCAACAATGTTGAGCAACAGAAGACTTCTGTGTTTCCTTTTCTCTAACATATGCCTCATGTTCCTTGACGCAAAATTTTAAGGCTCTTAGTTTGGCCAAATTAAACCACACTGGCAAGGAATCCTATAAATACCCCAGGAATTCATATCCGGAATGGGGTCCTTGAGTATAGAACTCGGAATTTTATTGATGGGAGAATAAACAACCCGAAAGTTAAATTTCTGCAAAATATGTGCAACTTTATAGCTAATTGATGGAAAGAAGGGAATGACAACAGAATTTTTATAATCTCCTAAAATAAGAGTGTGGCTTTTAGTGTGTTGAGATGGAATTTTTTAACTGCTTGATTAATAATGTTGGGTGAAAAGCCCCTGTCAATAGCTATTGCTTTTAAATAATTTAGTTCTTCATCAAGGGCTAGTTTGGAGGAGCAAACTTGAAGAGCATGGAAAACATAGGAATAAAATGAAGCTAACTTTTGTTTAGTCGGATGACATGATTTAAAGTGTGGTGGAAGGCAAACCGATGAAGGTTTACGGTAAACTGTAGTACTGAAGTTGGATGTGTTACGTGTGACCAGAATGTCGAGAAACGGAAGAGAATTGCAAGTCTCAAGTTCAAAAGTGAACTGAATAGCAGGATCAATAGAATTCATTGTTGAAAGAACTCTATTTAAATCATCTTTATTACCTTCAAACAGGGTAAAAGTATCGTCTACGTAGCGGAACCATGCCGGGAAGTTTCGGCGTGTTATTGTGTCTTAATTATATTAGGATAATCATACATTAAAAGCTACAAAACATTTATGCTTTGTAGCAACAACACTCAACAAAATATTTATGCGTTTTTTAAATCTGAAGCGTGCCCAGACATTTTGGCTAATTTATATTGATTTCCTTCTCTTTAAGCACCTTTTCTAAGAATTAAAAATTTCTTTCAATATGCAAACCAATGTTCTCACTAGTTTCTGTGTGCTGTATCTCCTAACTTGTCAACCTCTCCACAATGTACCTATGAGGGTTTATTTGACCTGGTAAAAGTTAAATAGTCCAACCCCCTCCCGACAGACATGAAACCAATTATCGCTATGTCTGAAAGTAACTGCAAAGTCAGACAAAGGTATAAATAAGCCTCTTATTTAAAAAGCACTTAAAAGCATGTTCTTATGCTAACCAAATCAATTGCAGCTTGTGGTGATGTAATTAAACAAGAACAGTCAAATTCAAACAAAAAATGTAGACTAGCGGTCAAAGACTGTACAATTTAATTTTAACTTAAGATGGCTCAGTAACTTTATCATCATAACAAATTCAAATGTCGGCAGCGATAACGCAGACAAAAAATTACAAATTATCAGAGATGGCAGGAATTAATGCAGTGAGCAAAGCAGAGATTAAAAACATATTGTCTTCCACACCAAAAACCTCAGTTTAAAAACTATTTAAGTGATTTGCACTCTGGGAAGGAAATAGAAACGGGGAAATTATAGTAAAGGCTCAAATTATAAATAACTCAGTAATTTACATAATAATAACTGTATATATATTTGAAGAATAATTTTCTTTCTCTGTATGTATTTGGTTTTTTTCTTCAACACGTTTCCTTTTCATTTTAGAATTTTTGGATTTAATTAAAGATTTCTGTTATTCAAAAAAAAAAAAAAAAAAAAAAAAAAAAAAAAAAAAAAAAAGCTTAATTCATTTAGAATGCATAGAAAAAGCTGCTAATTTTATTTCTTTAGCAATACGAACATTTAGAAGAAATATGAAATATATATGGTAAGGGCCGGTTACAGAGCTGGTGTGGCAGAATTCTTAGAATTTAGAGCAGGCACTAGAAGCAGAATTTAAAAGGGCACTAGTGAGCAAAATTTAGGATCTACAGATATAAATTTAATATTCCATGCGACTGTACCAGGTGGGAAAATGCCTAGCGTCAGACCTGTGTATGATGTATTAAAACATAGAATCTTTTAAATTGACAGTTTCCAATTTCTTTATTAATCAAAAAATTCCTTTCTATAATGCCTGCCCATGTGAAAAGATTAGAAGCAATTTTAATATTTCCCATGCTTGTGTCTAGTATCAGAAGTAATACATTCAAATATCATGTTTTCATTGTTGTTCCAGATGTTCTCCAAAAAGTAAGAAATTAATCGCAAACTTTCTGTAAAATATATCCATTGCGCGTTGATACCAATGGAGACATTTTTCATTTTGTCACATTTTTCTGGAATCTTCTAGAATTGTGGGTCTATAAATCTTGCCTTCAAATCCTTCTAAACTTTCCAAGTTGCATCCTTCTTCAAGTTGTAATGTCTAATGTCCCGAAGAAAAATTACCCCTACCAATTTTGTAACAGCAAACAGTCAAAAATATTTAAAAAGTGTACAATTAATTTTATAGAGAAAACTGATGCATATTCTGAGAATTCTGAGACAATTACAAGAGAAAATTCTTATCCTGAAAAAATTAAAAAGGAAGATATTTTAAATTAATTACATAGGTATTTTGCTTTTGCTAAGAACTTTTTCGTAAATTGTGCATTATAGCTTGTTTATTTTTCAGATTCAAAATATTGTAAAATAAGTGGCCAAAGTAGAACTTTATAATAATATGACAACGAAAAATAAAAATGTTACATTTTAATGTTATTTTTAATATAATTTCAATATATTGCCATTATTTTAATGAAACTTATCGATGTTACGTTTAAAAAAAAATTGTTGAAAAATTGCCAGATCTTGGAATTAATAATTTACCATAGAAACTTAATTAAAAATCGCCAAATTTTAGAGCCGTCCAATAAAAGAATTCCCATCCCCAGAAGCGAAAAGTTGTTTAGGATCTCTACATTAGAAAAAGTGAAACAATTTTGAAATGCTTATGTTTCAATTCTTGCTCAGAAACTCGAATATCCCACCATTTATATCAGAAATAAGAACACATTATAACCCATTAAAAAAATAACCATATTTATCAATGAATCGCTAGAAATATACTTTCAAAATGCCAATTCACACAAAAGATTTCAGTCGTAAAAACAGACAGAAATTTCACATGATTAAAATTAAAGACCTTCTTCCGATTTTGGCTGAAATTAAGGATTCTTAAGGACTGTACGAACACTAAGGAAAGTTCTGTCTGTTTCTATGACAACAATTTTCAACATGTAAGTACATGTTTATTTGGCACATGTTTGACTCTCTATTTTTATCTTTAATGTATACATACTGATGTAGCAAATTAACTAAAACAAAGTTGATTCCCGTTAGTTTTAAGTGTTAAGCGACAGTGTACCCATTGCTACTGATAAAGTTCATTTACGCCACTGAATTTCAACAAGGCAGAAATGCTACAGAAACATGTAGAAATTTATTGAAAGTGTTTGGTGAAGGTACAGTTTCTGATAGAACATGCAGAAGATGTTTCGAAAAATTTAAAACAGTTGATTTCGACCTTTCTCATAAGCCATGTACTGGGAAACCATCTTTGATTGACGACGATGTTGTAAAGACCATGTTGGAGCAATATCCTTCTCTGACAACATTGGAGATCACAGAAAGGCTTAATTCAGTTCAGCAAACCATATTCAGAAGAAAGGATTGGTGTGGAAATATTCAAGATGGGTGCCACATGAATTAAGTCAGAAGAATTTGGATGATTGAGACGTCATATGCATATAGTTTCCACTTGCTCGGAACAAAATCGAGCCCTTCTTGAACCAGATGATAACTGGGTATGAAAAATGGAATACCTATGAAAACATTGTAAGGAAAAAGGCACATTGTGAGCCTGGAAAACCTAGCTCTTCTACCTCTAAACCCAATTTGATTCTGAATAAGAGATTGTTGTGTATATGGTGGGACATTCGAGGACCAATACATTATGAGCTTGTACGAATGAATACATTATGAACAAAAAGCTCAATTCGGAGAAGTATTGTCAGGAACTGGATAATTTAAAGACAGCAGTCCAAGAAAAGAGGCCGGTGATGTTCAAGAGGAAGGACATTATATTGCATCATGATAATGCCAGGCCACATGCTGCTTTAAGGACTTGTCAAAAAACTGTACAACTAGGCTAAAAATTCTGCCGCATCCACCATATTCCCCGGATTTAGCACTTTCCGACTGTCACTTGTTTGAATTTTCACTGTCACTTGTTTGAATTTGACTGTCACTTGTTTGAATTTGACTGTCACTTGTTTGAATGTTTGAAATTCACCTCAGAAAATTTTTTGAAGGGCAAAAAATTCAAAAATGAAGAATATATGAAACAAGCACTGGCTCAATTTTTCGCATCAAAAGATACAACATTTCTCAAAAATGGGATATACAAATTGCCCTCACGCTGGCAAGAAGTCATTAATAATAATAGCAAATATATTATTTAATAAAGTAAGAAAAATTTGTATTTTAGACTGAATATATATATATTTAACTTCTCTATTTTTAATTCTTATGATGCAGTTACAAACTACCAGAACTGTATATATGAGAATTAAGTCAGAGCTTTCAGTGAATTTAACAGCCATAACAGGTGAGCATTTTTTAGGTTATTACCATCTCAACCAATATAACCTCAATTTTTACATTTTTAAAAATATATAACATTGAGTAATTACAACTTTCGGCATTTAAGAAAAAAATTCATAAACTACTAACATGCTAACAAATGAAAATAAAAGAAATTTAATTTAGCTAACCAAGATAATTATTTATTTCCATTCCTTTACCTTTGCCTGAAAGTTAAAAATGATAAAGTTAACTTTCATTTTATAAGAAATATTTTGTAATAAATCTAAATTCTTGAGTCACATAATCTGTAGATAGCCTGAAAATGATTCCTACTTTGCTTTACAACATTTAGGGTCTTACCTTGCTGAGGTGTATCAATAGGATCTGGTTTAGACACACTTTTCTGCCTCCTCGTCACAGGAGCTGAAATGTTTGTTAAAGGCTGTGGAGGAGCTTTTCTGGGGGAGTGTCGAGTAGCCATTCGATTTGTTGAAGAAGATGCACTTTCTTCTGATGCCTATAGAGAAAAGGAATATTAAGTCAATTCTCAGTACAAGCATCCATATTTATTTTGACTTCATTTTTTTCTTTTTTAAACATTTGAATTTTGTGTATAAGACTTCCCCCCCTCTAGTATCATCTAAATGCTTGGCTATCTTTTGAGAAGAGCTAGATTGCATGCAATGATCTTACCTGTGCCCTTTTCAGTGAATGTTTTTTTAACAGATGCATATATATATTATATATAAAGAGAGCAAATATCTAGACAAACTGAGATCACATATTTACCAGATAATTAAGTTTTCTTGCAATAAAAAAAGAAAGAAAAATATTTTTATTCAAAGAGGAAAACAGTTTTTTCCCCCCACTTCCTTGTACGAGGTAAAAAAGAAGTATTGTAATCGAGAAAAGTTTCAGGCAGCATATTTCAAAGAAAATATCCATTTTGACAGCTATCAAATGCTAGTTAACGACGTTTTTGCACGACATTTGTACGTAAGGACAGAATAAAAGACTCTTTTCCTCCCAAAAAATTTTAAAACTGCTTTAAAATGAATTCTGAAGAGAATTTTTTGTGGTGTCTGTACGTACGTACCTCGCATAACTCAGAAACGAGTTGCCTCAGAACGTTGAAATTTTGTATATAGGACTGCTATAATATGTAGATGTGCACCTCGTATTTTGGTTTCAATCGGCCACACTAAACATAAATAAATATATTTATATGTATATATCCACTCAGTTACCTGGCTCAGTGATAGGTTTCTTTACTCTTATATGTTTGTAAATTGTGCATTTTTTGTTTTAAAAATGATTGAATTATGTTGTTCTTATCTTCCAGTTAAGGTTTTTATGTCTTTAGTAATTCTGCATGCAATATTTTTAGAGTTATCAACAATTTAAAAGTTGTTTAAGTGCAGCTAAGCCTAATTATTTCTGCGATGGCGACCATGTTTATTTACATTTTAAACTTGGCAGAATAACAGATTTGTTGCCAATCTAGTGAAACTAAGCTTCGCAACAACAAAGATAACGCCTTCTTTTATTATTGCGAATTAAATCACGCTTAATCTATTCGAGGAAATAAGTGTTTAAGATTTACTTCGTAATTTTTAATATAGATATTTTGAGTTTTTATGTATTTTTGCCTTTTCGCGAAGTGAGAACTAAATTAATTGAATGAGAAATACCGAATCATCTGTGAAAAACTGTTTCTTTTTTGTTTTGTTTGCTTAATTTCTTTTATACATCATTCTAGATTTATTACAGCAGCATTTCCCAAACATTTTTGACCGCTGCCCGCTACGAGATTTTTAATTTTTTCACGACCCACCTTATAAAAAATTTTATTTATGTTCATTGAATGTGGCCAATATGTCGCACAAATAAGCTACTTTTATTAACCACTCCAAATCGTGGAATCTATCCTTAAATGGAAAAATAGCCTCTTTTTTAGATGGTGGGTGTTCATTCAGAAAAACCAACGCTTCGTCTTTTACCTCAAACAGACATTTTAAAACGCTTCCTTTTGAAAGCCATTGTGAATTACGATACAAAAGGAGGTGTTTATGGTAACTCTCCATTTCCTTGCATAATATGATAAAAAGTCTGATATTTAATGGACCGAGACTTTATGTATTTTACAAACTTGACCCATTCTTGCAAAATCATGTTTAAATTTAAAGGCATTTGTTTTACCGCCAATGCTTGTTTATGGATACTACAGTGTACCCATACACAATTAATTGCTAATTCTTGAATTTGTTTAAACAAACCTTTATGACAGCCTGCCATTGCACGTGCTCCGTCGCTACCTAGTCCAACACACTTCATCCAATCAATACCGTGACAAAATCATAGGTAGCCTTAAAAATTTCATCTGAGGTCATTCTTGTCAGTAGCCTTTTAAAAAAACAAAAATTTTCTTGTATGGTGTCTTCGTCAATATAGCTGATAAAAGACATTAGATTTGCCTTATCCTCAATATCTGTGCTTTCATTTATTTGCATGGAAAAAAAACTTGCTCTTTTTTTTACTTGTGCAACTAGTTCTTTTCCCAAATGTTTCGCACAATCATCAATTCTCCGTTTAACTATATTATTTTAATAATGTATCGCCGAACATAAAAAAAATTTTTTTTATTCCGCATAAATTATTTGCAACAATTTTCAAAACGGGAAGTATTAAATTTTTTCCAGCACTATGAGGATACCCAGTTTCAGCTATTAATTTGGAAATTTCAAAAGATGTCAAAGTGTGGTTTTTATTTGACTGGTGAGGTAAGAGTGTATTTAATTTTTTTTTTTGGGGGGGGAGCATCAATCAATTCATTTTTCTTATCAGTTAAAAAGTTAATTGGCTTATCAGAGTATTCAGTGTTTAAACGGCGTTTTAACTTTGACGGTTTCATACTTTCATTTGAAAGATGCTCATTGCAAATAACACATGGTGGCAAATTATTTTAACTGCCGCCGGAAGTGAACCCACAATAGTTGCGAGTCCAAGTAGCTTTACGCTTGTTATTTTGGCTCTGCATATCTGCTTTAGGCGCTTCAGGCACAGTATCTTCAAAATCATGATGTTCAGCTTTGCTCGTGCTTGGTTGATTATCATTATTTAAATCTGTGGTTTTCTTGATTAACCATTTATCCCTTTTAAAAAAGGTTCAAAGATTTAATAAAAAGAATTTGTTTATTAATGATTTATAAGAAAACGTATTTTTATTACTTACCAATATGAAGTTGCTATAAATAATAGGTAATAATAACTATTGTCAAATAAAATAGGTAAAAAAAATTAAAACATAAGCTTGTTTTGACACACGTGAGTTTACGGCGCATGTACCGGAGAAGGCACTGAATGACAAATCAAAATCAGCCAATCAGAGCATCTGAATTTAAACGGTCCGGTAGGAAACAGTGGTAAAACGTCTGCAGTACTTTAAAAAGTTTCAAAAATATTAAATTTAGAGCAAAATGTTAGATTTTTTGTGTTTTTACAATTTTGCCACGACCCAGCTGAATTTTTCTGCGACCCACACTTTGGGAAACACTGTATTATAGTATTTGAATAGAACATGTGGCAATGATTAGATAATTCTTCAAATGATATAAATTTTGTGCATTTTAAGTTATAATATGAACAAATTATAATGCTGTGAACCTAGAGCCAGAGTGTCACTATGGTAAACAAAATATAGTGAATTTTAAAGCGTGCATTTATGCTATTGTGGTTTATGCGCTATCAACGAAATAGATTTAATTCAATCCCAATAAAATTTAAATGAAATGCAAGAAAAAATGTATATAATTGAACATTCTGTACAAGGAAGTCATGTGGTATACACATCAGATTTAAAAAAAAAAAAAAAAAAAAGAAGAAAGAAGAAGAAGAAGAAAAGGGGGGGGGATATTTTAATTTGGCTAAAGACAAAAACCATTTTTATTTCAAATACAATAAAATGAAGAAAATGTTTACTTAAAGACATCCTACAAAGTGAACACAAACCACATTTGTTCTACCTGATTTTGAAAAAGAAATACTAGCTATATCTAAATAATTAAATACTGGAATAAACAAATAACTTATACCTATAAGTGGTGACTGCATTTTTTCTACCTTTATAAGCTACATATTTGCTAAATGATGCAGTATGCTACTGATGTGGGATAACATTAATGAATTCACCAATATGAATGTGTATATGTTATGCTTATTTATTTTTCATTTTTCTTTTAGGCCACTAAACCTGTCACACATTCATTTAAAGTTTCATTCTTCTTAAATAAATACACATTACTGCTTTAGCTTTCAGTATTATTTAAATCAATGAAAAATTAAAAAATACATAAATATATTAACAACAGTCTTAAAATTACAGAACTCAAAAGAACAATATACAATTTAGAGGTCTGGAATTCTCTTAAATTCCAAGATCCTGCATCAGTCCACAACCTTTTTTGACATCCTGCATCCCTCAATTTTAATATAATCTCGATTATGAAAAACATATCTTAAATACAATTTACCTGAATACATTTTCAATTTATATGGAAGTCAACACAATAAATGAAATAAATTTAGTTAATATTTTTATAGCATAATTTTTTTTTAAAGATTCATACTTCCAATTCCCTTTTCTTCTGTAATGACCTGCTGCCACTCATTACTGCAGCAATGGTTCGTTTAACTCCAATGGAAGCTTGTCTTGTTTGCCTGCTGTATGTCCTAACTGGACTTGAGGCTTTAGGAATTTCTGGCTCCTCTTTCTTTTCTTCTGGAGGTAAGCTACTGACAACTTTCGGAGGTTCTTCAATTTTACTGGTTTGAGGCTCTTGAACCTCAGCCTCAGCAGGCACTTCAGGAGGAATAGCCTTAATGCACATAAATAAATTAATACACTATTATATTATATATCAGTATTACAATAAAAACAGTCAAAAAATTAGAATTACCATATGATATGGCTACTTCTGTTATATTCAATAAACACATTTTTGCTA